TCTCCCCTGATGAAGTCTAAACTCTTTTAATGAAACGTTGGGTATTAAAGGATGATATTTGATGTCAAGTTGTATTATTTATTACACCAAGTTCAGTATACATCAAATGAATCGCTGTACTACTGGTGGTATTGGTGATCCCATCAAAAAGTCTTCTGTGATTGGTTATTGCTGCCTGTTTTTTCTTTTTGGAATCACCACATTATAATGTGGTCGTATATTGTCGTCGCCCCTGTCGGTCCGTCCCTCCACAATTGGCTTGTGAGCGCAATAGAGACAACAGTTTTTATCTGATTTGATTTGAATGAAAGTTGGTGTGATCATTTATATTCATGAGATCTTGGATAAGTTCAAATTTGACAAATTTTCGATCGACGGTTTTTGAGTTATTGCCCTTGACGCAGCAAAATTTGGTTGTGAACACAATAGAGACTACAGTTTTTATCTGATTTGAATGAAATTTGGTGTGATCATTTATGTTCATGAGATCTTGGACGAGTTCGAATTTGACGATATTTTGTTGAAAGGTTTTTGAGTTATTGCCCTTTACTTATGAAAAATTTGGTTGTGAATACAATAGAGACTACAGTTTTCATCTGATTTAAATGAAATTCGGTATGATCATTTATAATGATGAGATCTTAGTCAAGATTAAATTTGACAATTTTTCGATCAACGGAATTTGAGTTATTGCCCATGACTTATTAAAACGCATCAAAATTTGTTAGCGATAGAGGTGACAGTTTATGTCAGAATTTTATTAAATAATGTGTATTTGTTTAAATCAACAATATCTTGCATCAATTAGATTTTTGGTATGATTTGACACAGATAGGTGACTGTCCTTGATATACTGAAAATGTATCAGGAAAGTGGGCGTATCTTGCTAGCCAACCACTTGTTAAGTCTTAAGTATAGATTGTGTAAATTTTCACACAATAAAGGTATCTTTTAGTAGTAGCGAAGGACAGAAAAGTAAGGTGCCAAACTCCATTTCAGAAAAATAATTTGATTTTTTTTCAGCAATCGCTAAAGGTCATTATGAAGAGAGTTTGAAGAAATGTAAACATCTGATGAACAAATTAAAGAGTTGGACGGAAAATGACGTCAAAAACAAAGAAGAATACGTGGCCAATGTTTATAGTTGTATTGGTAACGCTAATTTAGAAATGAATAAATTAGATCTTGCTTTAGAAAACCACGAAAAAGACCTGAAAATAGCAGATGAACAGTAGGTTTAATTTTTATACGCCCACATGAAATGGGGGCGTATATTGCCGTCACCCATGTCCGTCTGTCCGTCCGTCCACAATTGCTCGTAAACACTCTACAAGACACAACTCTTGACAGAATTTGACAAAACTTGGTATGAGTGTTCGTCATCACCCGAGGATGAACCCTTTTGAAAATCAGAAGAATCGAAAATTATTTTGTATGAGCTATTGAAAATCAGAAGAATCAAAAAATATTTAGTATGAGTTATTGCCCTTGTTCTTGAAAACGCGTTCAAATTATAGCTCGTAAACACTCTAGAAGGTACAATTCTTGACGGATCTTGACGAAACTTGGCATGAGTGTTCGTAATCACCCAAGGATGAACCCTATTGAAAATCAGATAAATCGCAAAATATTTAGTATTAGTTATTGCCCCTGATCTTGCCCCTGAAATGCGTTCAATTTTTAGCTCATAAACACTACAAGACACAATTCTTGATGGATTTTGACAAAACTTGGTATGAGTGTTCGTAATCACCCAAGGATGAACCCTATTGAAAATCAGATAAATCGCAAAATATTTAGTATGAGTTATTGCCCTTGGTCTTGAAAACTCGTTCAATATTTAGCATTACCTTTCCTGGCAAGCTATCTTGATGATTTTTGATTGCAATTGCCTGAGATTTAAAGTGGTTACCCATGTATTTATGATGTTGTCATATTTGTTTCATGGATGTTCTGTTCCAAATGGTTTGTGACTTCATCACTTGTTATATTTTCTAGTGATTTAACAGATGCTAGATCGAGAGCTTTAGATAATATTGGTCGTGTTTATGCCAGAAAAGGACATTATCAGAAAGCTATAGATATGTAAGTAACAAGGAATTTGATTGGACGAAAGTGGTATGGAACACGACTAGGGCTGCAACGATTCACCGTTGAATCAATGAACCGCTATTCGTTCCTCCTTATGGATGCATTGCGGAAGAAAAAAACAATCGCGGTACATCAGCCCGATTCTCATAAATATAATTAACTCCCCTTAATGACTAACAGCACAGAATCCTCGCGTATTTTAGAAATTGTGTTAAAAAATTGCTTTCACGTATCAATTTGTCTTCAGCATTTTTAATTTTTGTTATAAACGATGAAAAGAGAACATATTAATATGCCAAGTGGAAGATAAACGCATGGGATCTGATTTAAACTTTTTCTTTTTCCAACGTAATATGTGTTTGCATAGTCATAAAATTATTCCATGAAGCTGTATTCGATGGTTTAGTATTTCATTTATTTTTTTGAAGAAATTTGTTAGTCCTTGTGTGTAACAAATGATGAAAAGTCAATTTTGAACTTTTAAGCGTGCAAAAATAATTTAAACTGTGTTAAAATGTTATTAATTATCAGTTTTCTTTTTAATTAAAGAATCGCGATTTATTATCGCAATAAATCGTATCATTGAACGAGTATCGTTCAGTGTATCGAATCTCCACTTTAAGAATTGTTGCAGCCCTAAACACGACAGAATGATGTAGAATATCTGAAATAGCCCACAGAATTTAAACTAAACAAAATCTAGTGCTGTATTTTAATCAGATTCAAAAGGTTCTGGAAAATGGAACATCCTAGAAAGTTCCTGAATTTAGAAGGGGGCAAATTAGCCCACAGAAAATAAGTGAAACAAAATATCTAATCAGTTGGACATGGTCCTGATGAGTAAAATTCTTGATTATTTGACTTGAAGAGACATTAAGATCAAGATGAGTTGAAGGAATCCTCAAAAAAATAGATAGAAGAAAATTTGTATAAACAACCAATAACCATTGTATATGGTTGGAAAATTATGTTTCTAGAAAAACTGAAGTGGCCCATTGAAAATGAATGAAACAAAATTCGTGGGTGACCGCTTGAAACCTCGTATAACAATATATGACGCGAAATTACTTTTCGAGAGAAACGCAATACGTGGTTTTCATTCTTTGAAAATATAAACCTTATATAACAATTTGAGATCTCCGGCCTATTGAACCAAAAACTCATATAATAATACAGTATACAAGGTTTTTCATTTTCATCCCAGAAAAAGGAACATTGAACCTCGTATAATAATATATTTTACAAGGTTTTAAATCTGACTGTTTATATACGTGTTATTTAATTAGTGGTTTTTGAGTTATTTACAATCAAGCTAAGAATACGAGGTTTTGATCACAAGATCCACGCTTTTACGAGTTTTCGAACGGGAACCAAAATATCAAAATGACCAAATATGGCATATACGAGGTTTCAAGCGGTCACCCACGATATAAGATTTTCTTTGCAGATGGCTAGAAAAGGTCAAACTTAGTAAAACCTCCTTAGAAAGTACCTGGTTGTATCACGAGATAGGCCGCTGTTATTTTGAGATGAAAAAATACCAAGAGGCCAAGGAATATGGAGAGAAGTCTTTGAGTGCTGCCAAGGAGGCCAGTGATGAGGGCTGGCAACTACATGCCTGTGTTCTAGTTGCTCAATCTGAAGGTGAGTTGAGGGGCTTTTAGGCATTTGGTTTATCTATAATGAAATAAAAACTTACTTTTGTAGTTTATACTGTTTTCATTTCAAGTAGTTATCATAGATGTTACTCCACCATTTATTGCATTGAGTAATTGTGTAATTGAGTAATTGTGTAATTCAGTAATTGTGCAATTGAGTAATTTAGTAATTGTGTAATTGAGTAATTGCTTAAATGAGTAATTGTGTAATTGAGTAATTGTGTATTTGAGTAATTTATTAATTGTGTAATTTAGTAATTGTGTACTTGAGTAATTGTGTAACTGAGTAATTGAGTAGTTGTGTTAATGAGTAATTGTGTAGTTGTGTAATTGAGTAATAGCTTAAATGAGTAATTGCATAATTGAGTAATTGTGTATTTGAGTAATTGTGTATTTGAGTAATTTAGTAATTGTGTAATTTAGTAATTGTGTACTAAAGTAATTGTGTAATTGTGTAATTGAGTAATTGTGCAATTGAGTAATCGTGTAATTGAGTAATAGCTTAAATGAGTAATTGCATAATTGAGTAATTGTGTATTTGAGTAATTGTGTATTTGAGTAATTTAGTAATTGTGTACTTAAGTAATTGTGTAATTGAGTAATTGTGCAATTGAGTAATTGTGTAATTTAGTAATTGTGTAGTTGAGTAATTGAGTAATTGAGTAATTGTGTAATTGAGTAATTGTGTTATTGAGTAATTGCGTAATGTAGTAATTGAGTAATTTAGTAATTGTGTGTACAAAATAAGTAGCCTAGAGAATAAGCACTTTCTCCTGAGACCAATCTGCTAGAAAATTTTGCCTCTTGCCCATGCCTTGAGTGACATCTGTTGAACACAAAATCTCCATTAAAATTATTTTTCAGTTAAATGTGGAGAATTTCAAGCAGGAGTAGTCTCTTTTGAGCAAGCATTAGAAATGGCCAGGAACCAAAAAGACAAATCTGCAGAGAAAGCTATTCAAAATGCGCTGGATGACGTAAACCAACAGATAGTGAGTGGTGTTGTACAATCGGAGACTCAACAGAAAGAAGACAAGTCAGACTCTGATGGAGAAAAGAAAAAATCAGACCGACCTTCATCTTCATCATCATCATCTTCTTCTTCCTCCAAAAAAAGTAGCTCAGGTAATGTTGATTTCGACTCAGAAGTTTAATTCTAGATTATAGTATAGTTGAGCAAAGATTCTTCTCCAAAACATAAATAGGAGTAGTGTATTTTATTTTTTGTTGGTTTTAAAGGGACAGGTGCGCCATTATGGGGGTAGATTTGAGTCTTGAATATATGTACTAGAAACAGAAAAAAACTCATTATTTCTTCAAAAATATCTCAAACTAGGAATTTATTTTGCTATTTCTGTAGATGTCTTTTCTATATATGGCAGTGTCTCAAGAAAAGACGTTTTTTTAACTTTCAAACGTGGATAATTCTTGACACACATGGATTTGAAGGCTTAGATTTAGACGGTGAGCTATGAACACTATTATTGATTAACTTAGCTAAAAAATTCCCGTTTCTGAAACAAAGGTATGATAGATCAAAAATCAAAAAAATGGCATCTGTTCCTTTAAGTAATAATTAAAGATGGGTTTCCTTATTTTTTAGAGTCAAATTAAGCAAACTATTAGATTAATTGATGTTTCTAATGAATTATCATGTATTCTTAATCATATCATTATGTTCTTATTGCATATAATTAATAGTTTTAACCAATCATAAATGTCCATGTATGCACAGTCTGGATAAACAAAAAAGAGTTTTTGACCTTTCTTGATCGGTCACTCATTGGAATTCTGCTGGTAATTCTCTTCTAATTTAGCTTATTATGGACTTGTGAGACAAACTGGTATTTTTTCAAGTCATTAGAACACCTCTACTTTCTATTCATATAAGTATTAGCATTTTCATTTTTCATCAATGAAAATAAGGGAACCCATCTTTAACACAATGTTAGATCTAATAGTCTGTCTAGCTAGAAAATATAGAGAACTGCTTGTGTTTATGTTTTGAACATCTTTGCTCAACTGTACCGGTATTTCTAAACGAATTAAGAATTGTTTAGTATGCTTTCAGTAAATCTTACGGAAGCGTATTAGGGCCATTCATTTTTTCTTTTTTTTTTTGGGGGGAGGAATTTTCAAGTTAGTATGTTGAATTTTCAAGCTAGTATGTTGAATTTTCAAGTTAGTATGTTGAATTTTCAAGCTAGTATGTTGAATTTTCAAGTTAGTATGTTGAATTTTCAAGTTAGTATGTTGAATTTTCAAGTTAGTATGTTGAATTTTCAAGCTAGTATGTTGAATTTTCAAGTTAGTATGTTGAATTTTCAAGCTAGTATGTTGAATTTTCAAGTTAGTATGTTGAATTTTCAAGCTAGTATGTTGAATTTTCAAGTTAGTATGTTGAATT